AGCTCAGGATGTAAAAACTGTCTAAGAAAATGCAAGTGTTTCTCCGATTTGTCCAGAAAATGTTGCTCTTTCTATCGGGACAAACAACATGGATCTGAGAAACAACAAAGTCAGCTCTAAACCCATCAGAACTTTACACTTTTGTTTTCCCCAAATCTACATGAGCATCACATTAAAAAGGCGTCGTAAGCACTGGACCCGGTTTGCCATCACGGAAGAATCAGACTTAGACCCGGCTTTAATCTAGATCAGCCGCGGCGCCAGGGATAGGCCCGGGTAGGCCGGTGCCTACCAGTTTTTTTCTTGGCCTACTCAAATTTGTTCTTCGCCTCTCAAGTCATTAGCCTTTTTATTAAAAGTCATAATTTTAATATTGTTATTTTTATACACACATTATTGCCTAAATGTTGCGTTCTAATGTTTTAAGAAAATGTAACCCCCTGAGCGTTCACGTTGCTTCAAATATAGTCCTGTTTATTGGCTGAATAATTGTGTCCAATAATCTGCATGATCACATCACGCAGCGCGAAGCTCGTTCCCGAGAACAAGCAGCCATTCCTCGTCTTTAAGATTGACAACGCTCTCAAAACATTCACAACAGAGCAGCCTTTTTAGTCATTTTAGTTTTAAGAAAGTTCAGCGTGATCTTCGTGAGGTAGAGGAGCCAGAGGCCTGGGCCCGTAGGTCCCAGAGGAGGAGAGCGCAGTCAGGCCAGGTTCACCTCGTACTGATGAGGTAAACCCCAGGCCTGTGTGTGTGTGTGTGTGTGTGTGTGTGTGTGTGTGTGTGTGTGTGTGTGTGTGTGTGTGTGTGTGTGTGTGTGTGTGTGTGTGTGTGTGTGTGTGTGTGTGTGTGTGTGTGTGTGTGTGTGTGTGTGTGTGTGTGTGTGTGTGTGTGTGTGTGTGTGTGTGTGTGTGTGTGTGTGTGTGTGTGTCTGTGTGTGTGTGTGTGTGTGTGTGTGTGTGTGTGTGTGTGTGTGTGTGTGTGTGTGTGTGTGTGTGTGTGTGTGTGTGTGGTGTGTGTGTGTGTGTGTGTGTGTGTGTGTGTGAGACACACAGGGCCTCATGTATGAAACTTGCGTACGGACAAATCAGGGTGTAAATCAGGGTGGAATCACTTTTCGCATTTATCTATCTGGACGTGAGCGTACAATACGCAAAAAAATATACGGCAGGTCTGGAGGTGGAGTAAACGCTGATCTCAACCTTCGGCTCAACACGTTAAAACACGCATGAAATTCAGGATTTGGACAACAATAAACATATTCCCTCTGGCAAAATTATAAGCTGTGTTTTCATTGAGCATCATGTTTCAAAAGTTGAATTTGCGCATCGGAAAAAGTCTAATGGAAACACGCAAACTTCGAATAAATCACAGCTCATGATCAGGACCCTCTATTAAATCTGACTTGTGTGTGTATTATTTTGATCTGTATGTTTTTTTAAATGTGAAGCGGTTTGTGATCCTGTGAAAGGCTCTATATAAATACACTTTACGCAACAGGGATGTGTGACCCAGCTATTGCTGTGGCAGGCTCTGCGCTGCGTAAGTACGCACTGCTATTTGTATTCCTCACATCTGGTAAAGCAATGTGTTATTTCATTAGATTTGTGTTAGCCTCACACAGACACACACCCCAATAACGCACCGATGGTATTGCTCACTCAAACGTCTCACTGCCCTGTCCAGAGTGCGCAGCGAGTGCCGTGAGAGGTCGGCCACATAACTCCTCAAATGTGCAGAAGTTTTGGCTTCAGTTTCTTTGTGAAATCTGGACCGCAAACGCCCTCTGAAGTGTACAGCGCTTCAATGCGCACTTCTACCCCGAGCCAGGCTGCGTCCAAGACACTGCAGACGCTTCATTCATGAGAGCCACCGCTGCATAATATATATGAATTCATTCATTCAATCAATCTATATTTATTCACTTCTACAATTCAAGAGAGATTTTTCTAATGTATCAAAACTATTTTTGCAAATTTGTGCAAAACGCAGCTGAATATATAGCGTATATTTATTATTACATAAACATAACAAACAAACGTGCCTTTGGAGGCTTCCAACAGTCTTTTTGGACTTCCGTGCTGACCTGTCGCGAACATTGCTGCATAATTCTAGGCGTGACTTTCATAAATACGTTCGTATTCAGCCGATTTATCAACACCCGCAGCTGCGTATACGCTCAGATCTGGGCTGATCTCACGTTCATAAATCCGACGTTAGATTCTGCGTAAATGGAATATACACCCCAAATGTACACATTTTTCTACGCAAGTTTCATAAATGAGCTTGTGTGTATGTGTGTGCTTGGGTGCGTGTGTGTGCGTGCGTGCGTTTGAACCATATTCTTTGAAACCCCAATTCCAGCTTCCCCTTGTAGTTTGCGTGCGAATTTGGCCTACTTACTAATCTGCAGGCCTACCCAAAATTGCAAACCTGGCGCCGCTACTGATCTAGATAGAAGCAAAAGCCGTTGATTCAAGATACATTTACAGCTATT